GTAATCCATGCGCTAGCAAAAACATCTCACGGTATCAAAGTATCAAATCCGCGGGTCAATATCACGCGAACACATTCCTGGATGTACTCCACAAGCTAGCATTTGCTTGATGACGAAACCTCTTGACCATGCATGTTGGCCCAAACGCTATGTCCACACCGTAGAAAACCAAACGTGAACATGACAAAATCCCACGCGAAATCCACTCAATGACAGGTGCCCATGACAGATTCGCCTCCAACGACTACTCCGGCACTTATAACTTACAGTGGCGCGAGAACGACAACTAACACCGCATCTGCTGCTGCTGCCGCGCGTGCTTTCCTCCGCGGCACGACTAGCCATACAAGTCTGCTTCTCGAGGCCCTCTGCTGTAGCTACATCACACCCCGACCCTCGACAGGAACTGTGAAATCAGGCGACCCACCTAAGGACTTACGGCTTAAGACTAGGTCAAGCCTGGTACAGGCTTCAAAACATGGAACTGGGACTTTTTGGCATATCAAGGCGGTACACCTCGATCGTCTTCGGGTCGTAGTGAACAATCGTCGGCTCCCCCATTCCGGCTGCTTCAGAGCAAAGCTTGGCCATACCATCGAAGGTGACATACTCCTGAAGGGGTGCTCCTACGTAAACCCGTGTAACCTTCCAGTCTTGGCAGGGTCCCCAGGAAGTGTATACTGGGGTTGATGCTTTATGTTAAGGAGCAGGTCCCAGTTTCAATCTTAGGGTGGAGCATTACCGGAAAATGCTTGTCTGTGTGAGCTTTTGCTGCCTCGGGTTTGGTAGCCCTCTCCAGTCAGTCACAGGATTCCTGAGTGTGTCATGGCGTTTTCACGGGCATGTGTCCTACAAGTGCTGTTTGGCTTGCATGCATCATTCGAGCACAGGGGCGAGGGGCTGTCCTAAGATTTCCGAAGTGTGCGGCGTGGGTTTGTCCACGAGTATGTCTGCCCGTGCGACGTGAGATGACTCGAAGTTGCATGGCTGCGTCTGATTACATCCAACGACATGCGCTATAGCCACAAAGGCCAATGTTTACAGGTTGCTACTGTAGGAGGACCATGTCTCAAGAATCTTGGCTTGGGCCTTGATTTCGGAGGGGACCAGGACCAGGAGACCGACATACTTTGTTGGGAATGTCTTGGTGACGCAGCATAAGTTTGATTCCTTCCTCCCTTCGTCGGCATGCTTGGGTCCTAGAAATCGTTCGGAGATTCTAAGACACCGACCCCCCCAACAAAGTGACCATCTCCGCCATTGTGAACTCTGACCAAACCTCAAAGGGACTTTAAGAGGGAGCCTGGCTGGAGATGTTGTACACTTGGCGGGCCACCGCCTGTACACATGCAGTCGCAGAAGAGACAGCAGCCCGCGCGACGAACAGCACAAGCCCTGCAAAGAAGAACCATGGAGCATCATGGAGCAAAACCGCATCATGGAGCTATGCGCTACAGGAGTGATGGACACATTCCCTTCTGAACAATTGGGCAGCAACTGTTGAGCTGAGCCAAGGGGCACCGTTGCCCACGCACTTCGCCATGAAATCTGCCAAATCTTCACAGTGGCCCAGCTGTGTGATGTACTTGCCACCGTAAGGTACGCAGACCTGCTCTCAGCCACTATTGATATGGCTTCATCGGCAGTTGTGCCTACACAGACGTCCAGGAACCAACATCAAACCTACCAGAGAGTGGGTGCCTAGAACCGAGCCGACTTGAATTCCCTGCACAATCGCTTCGCATCACAAGGCTAGCAGCATCTGAAACCCAAAGATGATAAGCCCCAAACTAGCTAATTGCACCCCACACTATACCCAAGCCCTGCATCCCAGATGCCGGTCGTCCGCGCGTGACGCGGTCGAAGAAGTACCGCTCCACAGGATTGTAGTTGAGAGGACCGTAGATGTAAACCGGCCGTATGGAGGTCCAGTTCAGGCCCATGGAGTCCTGCAGGAGATGACTTGCTGACTATTTCGTTGACTAGTTACTTGGTGAGTTTAAAGTTTAGCAATCAGTTTATGTTGCTGCGTGACCTTGAGTTGAATCAAGCAACCAACTGATTGACGGCTTAGTTATAACTCCATTCGCCAAATTGATTAGGCAGCAACCGTGGCCCATGGCTGTCATCTAGGAAACGTCATAGCAGTTCACAGGAGCTGCATTCACCAAAGTAGACGCGCTGGTCATAGTCACAATCTCAAAGTATCCGCTGTGTTTCGAGAAATCCCGAGTCCAGGTAATTCTCGCAGGCCAGCTTGTCCTGCATTTGCAGAGACACTTGCAGTAATCTCACGCCTTACGCCTGGCGGGGCAACCGGCGTCCTTGTGACGAGAGTTGGGATCCCCCGGCGTAGACTCGCTGAGCGGCAAGACGTCCGTCGGCCCATACACCCCGGCGCTGCTCATGATGATGAACTGCTCACAGCCGCCGCTTGCCTCTTTGGACTGCAGGCTACGGTGCCCTCGTACCTACAGTTAAGCCGGCGGGATTCTGTCTTAGAATGTTACAAAGTCATGTATGCCACAAGCAACTCAAAAACAGGGTTACGGCGCCGGTACGGGGCCGTGCGCTGGGAGACAATTTCATGTTGGCGCCAGACGGCGTCGAGGCCAAAACTCAAGCCAAACGCGCGTTTTGTCCAGATCAAGAGCTTTCGCAGGTGCCGAAAACACTA